CGTATTTTTAAAAGGATAATTTAGACTAATTCGTGATATTTCCTTTCAATAACGCAAATTAATAACACGCAATAAAAATATAATTTGTTTTTTTACATATCGCGTTATTGTTTTGCATAAATAATATGCGAAGCTTTTGGCATTCGATTAACTAGGAAAAGAAGATTATTGTCATCTAGATACAAATTTTAATGTATTCAAATATTAAATTTATAACTATTTTTTTATTATGCAACCTATATGTGATCATATGATATTACAAATTTAGGAAACGTGTGTACGTAATTTGGGGTGATTCTGATATTTAATTTCTGATTTTATATATTTAGGTTTAGAAGGTGAGCAGAGAATCGGATATTTATGTTTAATGTAAGAAAAGAACACAGTGAGATATATATAGTTAAAATAATCATTTTATAATATATCAAACGAAATAAATCTGGTACCGAAGGAAATTTTGTAATTTATTAGGAATTCTATTTAAGTAAGTAGTCAAAACTATTTTATTAAAATTAATGTTGATGTTCGTTGAGAATCTTATAAATAATTTATTAAATAATCTTTTCACACATGATACAGGATAAATCAAGCACCATATACGTAATGTATTTCAGAAGCTCTACGGTCGAGCCCATTTACCATTTTAGTGTCATTTCCAACATTATCGATTCGGCGTAGAATAAGATAATAACATTTGTGCTGGTACATATACATTGAAGCTACAAGATAAAATTGCAATATATCTCGATAATTATAGATGCAAAATTCTATACTTCTACAATATTATTTGTTTATTTTTATTATAAAGCAAATGACTAAAACGGAGCGTCTCCTCTGTACAGAACCAAAAGTAGAACAGAAATTATTTTTAGGAACAAAATCATTTATTTAAAAAGAAACAATATCTCGTTACACATCACCAGAAAGATCCAAAAGCTTTCTGATCCGCTGATTTGCAGTTTCTGGAATCAATAAGAATTTCGCTGCAGTCTAATGAAGTGGTTTGTACTGTTTACTATATAAATCATAATTTATCTATCAATTATATGTAACTACTATCAGTTACAATTCTGAACAAAAAGCTTTATAATTTTATGTTTCAAAAATTAATATTGTGATATATTATAATAATGATCGTGCTCAGATCTCACCGCGTGGAGGTTGTTGCATCTGGATATCCACCCTAATTATGCCTCGTCTATTTTCCTTTTAATTTCACTTCAAATATCATACAAAAATAATGTAAAAGAAAAAAGAAAGAATTCATACTATTTTATATCAACCAACATTTTGAAGATTCAAGGTAATTTGTATTTGAATTAGATCAGATATTACGAACGATATTAATTCGAAAGTCTTGCAATAATTTCAAATTCTATTCTGATACCATTCTAATACGATACCTAATACTATTTTCTAAGGAATCATAACAATTTATAACGAGAAAAGATCTAAAAATAATCACAATATGTCTCACGATACGCAACGTTAAAGCACACGTGCTTATCGTTTCGTCATAACACGAATGTATGAATGATTCTAATGCAACCGTATTAAGCTTCAGTCGATATGTGAGCAGCTCAATAGCTTCGTAGGATCATATATCAATGGTACATGATCAGTGATCACCTCTGTGCAACTCTCCCAATTGCACCGGATGAAATGTGTTTCCAACGTTACGGTGAAAGAGTTTTAGATTCTTCATAAAGGTAATATTACCGAAGAAACGCAACGATTATTCATTAACGCAACGCTAATGAAGAACGTAATTAAGCAAATAACCCATGGTAACCGAAATACAAAGTTTCTCTTTGACGTAATCAACGATGAAATTCCCCGAGGATACGAAATTGCCGACAGCGTGATTAATTTTTCCGTGTGTTGTAGAGACGTCTTTCGCGGTTTGAAATCGCGAACTTGGTCGTTCGAACAGACAGAGCAAATCTGTCGGAGTCAGGTGGGCGCGTTCGAGATTCCTTGAATGAGTCCGTCGAAGGATATTCGGTTAGACCTCCTCCTGATGCGGCGATCCGACGTGATCTGGATCGTTGTTGGTATCGCAAGGAGGGGAAGATCGGCACGTTGCGTCGCGTCATGGAACGGGCGATGCGAGACACGGATATTTAGGAGAGTCGAGTTGTCGGGAGGGTAGTTATGCAGAGTTGGATGCCAGAATTTCGGAGCCTCAAGCTAATTTCTCTGCCTGGTCGCCATTACCACAGGGTGACTCGATTCACTTTATCAGCCGAAAGGATATCGGGTGGAAAAAGATCGAACGCGGAGCTTTACACAGGAGGTTCGAAGGATTGGCGAGGATTATCAGGATATTCCAGAGGCGAGTAACTCGATCAATGAATATTTCCTTTTTTCTATTCTCGCCGATATTGATATAGGGTGACTAACTGGCTTTTTGTTTATGAAGAGATTGTAGGGTCTGTTGCGTTCTTTTCTTTGTCAGAGATCGTACAATTTTCAGAATGGAGTTCCGTTTGATCGCGCGGCTTAAGAAAATAAAGTAGAGCAAGTTTCGTCGCGCGATAACGTGATTCTTTCTGGAAACTTGGTTATAATATAGAATAGTATAAGAAGTAGCGTTAGATATCAGCGTTTCTTATTAAAATGCGATCGGGTAACGGCAATTTTAGGAAAAGGTGTATTCAACGCGAAAGCGGTTATTTACTGCTTCAGCATCGTGTAGCACCTTAGTCTTATCCTGCTTTAGAATCATGCCACCATTAACGCGGTACTTTCCTTCTAGGGACACCCTATAAATTAAAATAGGCCACCCTACATGGACGCGGTAATCGAGAAAATGTAACGAAGGTTTGACGTATGAAGGAAGTATCAAAGCCTAAGAGATACAAGCATTAAAGTTACTTTCACGTATATTAAGCTAGCGTATCACGAAAACAATGCAAACATTCTCTTAAAGTTCACCGATTTTCATTTCTTTGTTCCATTTGCCGTGTTAATTTCATTTGGTGCTCAATATCGTGAAAACGAAGAAAAGGTGGTAAATGAATATGTCTTCAAAATTCTCTGACGTTTCACAAAATTCTTCTCGTTATTCTCAGTTACGCGCTAATGATATTTTTCATATCTGATCGCTTTCATCTATTTTTCCAGTGTCTTGCTGCTTTCGAGTAATAACACTCGTTTCTTTCGCCGAACGAAAATCTTGAAAAATATGCTGGAATTCGCAGCATATACGCGTCATAAGTAACGTAGCTGTTTCATGTTTGTAAGAAATCGTTTGGTGATTACCATTAATTTTAAAACGTATCAGACATCATCTTTCAAAATCCTTGCACGATAAATATTCAAAATTTATGTTCCCTTATACGCGATAAATCAGTACACCCAGTTCCTGATACGAACACTTTATCAGAAAAATTCTTCTTCGCATCTTCATATGCATAATTCAATTAAAACTGCCTAACAGCTGAAGCACGATCGACCATGTATACACATACATGTATCTTCCTGAACCTCGACAACGTATAAAGTATGGTATAATTTCAAACGTGTAACAATTGTTTCGAACGTTGTAAAAAAAGTACCTGACCCATGCCGTTGGCAATAATAATTGCGCGATGTATGCCTCGGAGAATGATTGGTCGAACCTTATAAAATATGTTCTCTAGACGAACCCATAGAAAGACATACAAAGGGATGAAATCCGCAGATCGATTTGGATGGGTAATCGGTCGATTCTTTTCCATTTTTAGGTAAGGAGGCAGAAGGAAATCGATGGAACGATAGAAAAAGGGTAAAAAGAAGGAATGACCAATGGCCGAATGATATTGCAACGTTGGAACGAGCATTGATTCACCAATTCCGGCGCGACGTCGGTCGTATTGAACTTGATCCCATTTCTTGCAGCCCAATTAGCCCACATATAGATCCGCCCATGCCGTGTCGTGTGGGGTGGCTTTCAGCGGGAGTGTGCGCAGTGACAGGTAAGCGCGCAGCTTCTGGGGTTGGAGAAAAGGCAGAGCAGAGGAGGCAGCCCCGTGAACCCGTGGCGATGCCTCTGGGTAGGCACGTCGCGACTCCCGATGCCGAAACATCCTCGACCATGTCGGGTGCCGGTAACGGGCCACCAGTTTCCACGTTCTCGTTCGTACAACGGCCGTCCTCATCCTGGTCACCTGGCCCGACCTCGTTACTGCTGCTCGCCGGACCGACTCGATTAATAATCGTTTAATCGGTCCTCGTACCTTCTCTCCAGCCGACCAGAGACACGCTCGTTCGCGCCGCATCCGCCTCGACGCTGCCGCCGCATCCTCGG